TTTAGAAGGATCACTCTGGCAGTAACTCGAGGGAGGGCTTGGGTTAAAAGTGATGCGTGTTACTAAGGCCAGTTAAAAGGTACTGAAATTGTGCATGAAAAACCAATGAGGACAGTGGGTGTGAGGACAGACAAGAGGGCTCAGATCTGAGACATCCTGTGGGAGCAGCAGGGCTTGATGACTAATTTGAAGTGGATGGTTGAGGAGGAGGGAAGAACTGAAGATGACCGAGTGTCTACTTTGGAAAGCTGAGTAATTAATTGGTGTTGTCATTAACTGAAAGAGGAAGGGAAGGGGGAATATCTGTGGGAGGCCCACCAGAAGCTTTACACGTGGCATTTCATTTAATCCTAAACATGTGCATGATGAAAGATTAAGATGCCCATTTTATAGATTAAACAATTGAGGTTTTAGTGAGCTTAAGTTACTTGCTCAAGCTCACACAGATGGTACATAAAAGATCTGGGGCCTTGTACCAAAGCCTGTGTCTTTCCATTATAGTGTTCTACTGTCTGATAATCATTTTATTTTGGAAAAAATAGGACTGGAGCTTAGGGGAAAGGTAGATCTAGAAACATGGTCCTCTCAGAGGAAAAATGGCAAAAAGTGAAGAAAGTTTCCTTTACACTATTGGGATAAAGAAATACAGCAGCAACGTCCCATAAAATTCTCTGCAATGATGGAAATGCTTTATATGTGCACTGTCCAATACAGTAGCCATTAGCCCATGTGGCTATGAAGTACTTGAGATGTGACTAATTTGATGGGGGGACTGAAATGTTAACTCATTAAATTAATGAATGAATTAAAATTAAGTGTATCCAGTGACAGTCACATTGGATAGTATAGGGCTAGAGAAACCAGCCAGACATGGAGATAGTCCATCAGCCTTGCTGGTACCCCTGAAACATCACTAGGTATTTGATCATCTGCTTCACATGTGTGGGGTAAGATTGGCCCTAAGTTTGGGGGCCACAGTTAGGAAGGATGACAAAAATAATTTTGCCAAGTCTTATCTTTAGAAGGAGAGTCAGTATAATACCCCACTTCCTTTCTTATATGAGATAAAAATCACAATAATTTTCTCTGTATTTACATTTTTTGTATAGCGTGCGAAGAGCTCAAGCTCCAGGGAAACCCCAGGGTTCAAATCCAGGTCTGCCACTGAATGTGTTGTGTCCTGAGTTTGTTAGTTCACATTCTCAAACTTCACTTTCACTATCTGTAAAATAGGGATAACAATAGTATCTTACTTGTGGGCTGGTTGTAAAGATTAAGTTAAATAACTTGAGTAAAACACTTAGCGAGTATCTGGCACATGCTAACCACTCAGTAAAAATGAGCTATTCTGTAACTAGTAACTTGTGATGAGTTTGTACTTTGCATCTCAGTATTTTGATATTTACCCGACTCTATTTTTATATAAGTAAAGGCATCCTCCCAGATCTGTAAATGTTAGAACATTCTAAAAAGAAGTACATACTCATTAAGATAAAAAGGTAGATAGGATTCTAAAAAGTTACCATACTGTGGCATGGGATTTGCAGTTATTTTTGTATTTCACTTTGATTTCCATTTTGTTACAGTATTTTAAATCATTACAATGGCAAATCATAATCCTTATTATTTTGTTGTGACCATCATTAAAATTCCTTTAGATTCACCTCAAACAATTCATACAAGGGGTGGTCAAGCAAAAATACTAGGGACTGTTAAGTATTGACTCAAAAGATTCCTTGATGTCTTGAGGTTCTGAAAAATTTCATACCACTTAACTGAAATATTTAATGCCCAGTCTTTGGTTATCTTAGAAGTGGTTGGATACATCAAGCACTATTTAAAGACTAATGACTTCAGAAGTAGGAACAAGTAATAGGATCCCTTTTGTTGCCATCGATTTTCTACTTTGTAACTGCTGGATTGAATAAATAGCTCTGTAATCCAGTCTTGCATTGTGTAGTGTTTGTATAAAAATACATTAAAAAATTAGACTAAGGTGTCAAGAAATCTGTGTTCAAGTGCCAGGTCTGCCATTGATTTGTCTGTTTAATAAGGAAAAGTCATTTACCTTTTTGGGCCACAGAGGAGTAAATGTCCTCTGTAAATGTGTTGATCCAGCCTTAATTCTAGAATGACCTAAGTATCCTTCCAACTAAAATTTCTTCAATTTACCTTTTCCTTTTCCCTTTGGGCTTAAAGATCTTCCAGAGGTAATTTTTATTTTCATGCTTTTATAAACATGCTTTTGGAATATTCTTGTAATACATCATTTCTTTAGAAAACAATTCATTGGTGAGTCAGCATGAATTGTAATGGGGAAAACCCCATTACAAAAGATATCAAAATTGCATGAGGTGGAGAAACGAGAAATGATTTTCTTTTTAAACAGAAATGATGAGGTATAGAGAAACCAATTACTTATTTATAAAATGAGTGCATGGTGGAAGGCTTTATGTATCAGAGCTAACGAGCTGTTACTTATTTAGCAAGACGGAGTCCTCTTCAAACTGCCTTAAAACTGCTATTTACTATAATCGTTCCTTTCAGAGAGGAAGAAAGAAAATGCGTGTCGGGAGGTGGGGGAAGGAAGGAAAGAAGGAAAGAGGAAGGAAGGAAGGAAGGAGGGAAGGAGGGAGGGAAGGAGGGAGGGAAGGAGGAAGGAGGGAGGGAAGGAGGGAAGGAGGGAGGGAAGGAAGGAGAGAGGGAAGGAAGGGAGGGAAGGAGGCAGTGTAGCAAGGTTAAAAGCCCCCTCTCCACCCGACCCCTAGACCCCACCCGTCTTCTCGGGAATCGCGCAATTAAGGGAATTTCCTCCTGCAGCCCCGAACGCTCGGCGGCTGTTTCCGCGTCACTATCGGGGCAGCCAGGGATCCAGCTTTCTCAGGCAGAGACTTCCCAACTCCTCCAGCGGGTCCCCAGTGGGACCCGAGAGTCCCTCTCCGCCCCAGACGGAATCGGACGGCGGGGAGGCTGGCACCACCCGCGGACGCCGGGGTGGGCGTGAAGCGCGCTGGGGTGGGCGCCGAAGCGTTTCCAGGGTGAGCGCGGTGGCCGGGCGCGTTTCCGGAAGGCTGATTGCATCAGGTGTGGAGCGGAGCGCCTCCTCGGCCCAACCTGGCGCCACTGCGCCTGCGCGCGTCGCCCCGCCCAGTGGCCGCCGAGCACTCCAGCGCGGGTTTTCCTCCGCGTCTGGGAGAGAAGGAGCTGCTGGGGCGGGGGGCGCTGTGCTGCCCCGGGACCCGAAAGAGAGCGGGTAGCAGGGCGGGCCTCCTGGGCAATCGCGGAGAATAGAGTGCTGCGTAGTGGACCCGCCTGGAGGGCGGGAGCCCGGTCTCCTCTCAGCTACTGGCGGACAGGGTGGTCTTGGGTTAATTTCCTCACCTCTCTGGGCCTGAAAGAGATCTGGAAGGCTTTCCAGTTCCGAGCCGTCATTCTCCTGAAGTGTGTTAAATTTCCCAAAGTGGGCCCCTGCCTTTCCTTGGGCGGATCTTCGGGTGCAGAGACTCAGCCCCAAGGGTGAGCACTTCCATGGATTGTTCAGTGGTAATAGTGTTTTGCTGTTGCAGGAAGGAGTGACATGATTGGTGACCTCCAGATGGGTCTGAGGGAAACTGTGCAAACGCCAGAAGCGCCTCTTCGCCCCACCATTCATTGCCTCCAACTCCATTCTGCGTCTGCCTCAGGGTCCCATGATGCACTTTCATACACACCTAGTAGACTGACTTCTAGTACTCTCCATGTTTGAAATGACATTTTTGAGTGATTCTGCGATGGATGTCTCTCCACCTAGCTGGATTGCCAGCTCTACGAAGGGCGGGTCTGGGCATTTTTACTCACTGCTATCCCAGGCTTACTGTATGTAAGACCTTGTGGGTCCTCAATAAATTCACCCCGTTTGAAGGAATAAAGTAATCCCCACTTCAACCTCAGAATCCTCACTTGAAATATAAGGACCAGCTGGTTCGAGTTTTTTTGAGGAAGGAGCGCATCCTGAGATTTTGGGGATAAGGATAAGTGAGGAGGAGCCATCCGTTCATTGCTGCCATGAATTTACTCTTAGCGTCAATCTCCTACAGGAGATCATAGGCAAGGCTGTGTGTACGTGTCGAGTAGTGGTTCTCAAAGCGTGGTCCTCAAAGACCAGCATTAGCAGCGCCTGAGAGCTTGTTACACACACAGATGCTTGGGCCCCACCAAAGACCTACTCACAGAGACTCTGGGAGTGGGACCCAGCAATTTGTTTCCCCAACCCTGCAGGCGATTCTGACTCTGGCTTAGGTTTGACAACCACTGCGCTGGGGAAGAACATAAGGATGCTCTGGGGATGTCGTTCACAGTCTCTGGGCAGAGCGCCCATTCTTATCAGAACCTTGCTTGCCTGCTTACAGTTCAGTGAAAGGTAACTTTCCTCGGGGTGAAAAGGAAATTTTGCTTTTCCCCTCCTGCAGGTGTCTTTTATCCGCTGAGGTGGTCTTGCTGTGATATTCACATCAAGGAATCGTGTGTGTGTGTGTGTGTGTGTGTGTGTGTGTGTGTGTGTGTGTCTAGTGCGAAGGGTTCTGAATAAGGAGGCAGAAAGAAGGATGTATCGCCCACAAGTTGCAGCTGGGAGGGTGTGGGCAGCTCTCACCTGGGGACATTTTCCCATTATGAGGGAATGCAGACAGGAAAAGAGACTAGCCTGAGATAAGGTTACCCAACTGCCTTTTAGTGCAGACAGATGCCAGACCACATGGAAGCGATATCCCGCTGCACCCTGACTCCCGGCAGGCATTTGGGTCTCCACACCCTAGGCCCTACTGCCTCCTAGCCATCTTCCCAGAAGATGGGGGGACCCCGCGTCCCAGATGGCCCGCAGCCTCTGCCTGCAGAGGTCGCACTAGGCGCGTGGCCCGCCCCCCTGCTCCCCGGCCTCCGCCCTCGGTCCCGCCTTTCTCCCGGTTCATCCCCGCCCGGCCGGGCCCCTCCAGCCTCTCCTCTCGCAGCCGCCTCCAAAGCCTGGAGAAGTGGAATCTCGCTGGCGTTGCTCCCAGCTCGGGACTCGCGGAGTGGCACTGGGCATGCTCAGTCGCCGGAGCCCGTCCTAGGCTCAAGTAGGAGGAAGCTCGTGTGCTGCACCCGCAGCTGATCCGGGCGCTTGGTGGAGGGCGAGACTGGAGCGGAGCTGTCGGGCGCCGTAGCCGAGGCGAACACTGCGCACACCACCGGTGAGCCTCGCGTTCTTCCTTGCTTTTGCCCTGGACCCCTGCAGCGGGCCGGGAGTGCTGGCGAGAGACCCGGGCAGTGGCGTGCGGCGAGTGGCTGCGCGTAGTCCCAGCGGCTGCTCCTGTTCTGGTCCCGAGGGCTGCGCGGCCACTGCTGTCCGCCCAGCCGCAGCCACAGCTGCTGCAGCTGCTGCCGCATCTGCAGCTGGCGCCAGCTACGGAGTCCCGTGCGCTCTGCGCCCGTGCCGCAGGGCCGGGTGGCAGGGCGATTGCGGGCTCACTCCTTGACTTGCATCCCTTTTGCTTTCCAGCGCTCTCTTTTCCGGGCTTGGCAGGGCCTGGGGTGGCAGAGACAGGCTTGGAGGGGGTGCGCTGGGGTGGGGGCTGCGGAGAGGAAAAGTGAGGGTGGGCGCCGGCGAGGGAGAGCGCACACCCCCTTACCCCTGCCACCGTCCTTTGCTGTGCGGCTGGGCTCCCCCGCCTGGGGCGGCAGCGCGCTCCTGCCGGGGAGTTGGAGACGGGGCTGGCTTCTCGGGGGTTCAGACACCAGCCTATGAGAGATCAAAGGGGGAAAAGTTCATTTCTCCCCTCGGAGGCAGAGAGGGCTTTAACTAGAAAATGGCTGTGCGAAGGGGACGAGTCAGGAAAGCTGGCCATTGAGTCCAGAAAGCCCCTCCGCTGCTTGCGGGGCGGAATGGAGGGCTGAAAGCTAGAAATGACATTTGTGCGATGAAAACCTTGCTGGATGGAAGCATGATGCGGAGGGTAGTCCCATACAATGAAAGGTGTTCTCGACCTCGGGTGCTGAGAGCGAGCGAGCGAGCTGAGGAATCAGGGGCAAAAGGCCGAGGAGGCGTGGGACCTGAATTCAAAAGATAATAAATTGAAGAAATCAGATTTAGAGTTGGAGCCGTTTTGTCAAGTCAAGTTCTGCGCAGCCCAGAGGCACGACTGTCACAAACGTTTTTGGCTGGAACGAGTGGTTGGAGAGGGCCGAGATGGAGAGGAGAAGGTCAGTGTCTCAAGCTCCCACAAGAGCGGGCTCTGGGAGGGCACAGTTTTGCTCAGGAAGTCTCTCAGTCACTGGCTGTATTTACATTGTACCTGATGACTTAGGTGAAATACCTAAAGAATGATCATACAATGATGTCAGCGGTGGTGTACGGATTCCAAGAAATGAGGAAACTTTGTGAGGTTGGCATTGGTTTGTCATTTGTTTTACTATTGCACTGATTAAAAAAAAAACCAAAAAACTGTGGCATCTTGATCTGTGGTTCTGGATTTGGGTCTGTTAAATCTTTGACTTTTTTTTTTACCCTTGTTATGGATTTATATATCAAATGTTGTGCTCAAATGTCCGTGATAATTAAGATATCTGAATTCATGTAGCTGGCCTTTAAGGAATAGGCGGTCCATGAGAGGGGATTTGCCTATGAACGTAGTAGCAGCTTTGTTGTATTTTCAGTTTGTAGCTTGAAAGCAATATTTGCTCAACACTTGTTTATCGTTAACTTACAGAAGCCTAGAAATGGCACTGTTTTGAAAGGATGGCATTTGTCAAAAGGACGAGGAACCTCCACGCTGGGGGAGATGTGGAGAGAACACAGGGGGCAGTAGAGTACAGTGGGCTGGTATCAGAGCATTGCGCAGGGGGAAACAGATGCAGGGTTTCTACGCTGTCGTGTTCATGGATGGTTGGAAAAAGCACTCAGGGTCTTCAAAACCCGGGATGTCCCTAGATGCTTGCTCAGAGCTTTTGCGAGAGGACTCTAAAGTTGGGATTCTTTTCTAGGGAAGGTGTTTATAGGTCTTATGCTATTCTCTCATCCAAAGCATACTTTTAACTAAATGATTTGCCTCCATGGAGCCAGCGCCATCCTGCTTCCTGAAACTTGTATAAAGTGGTAGTGGAAAGGCTCCATGAGCTTAAGTATAAAAGACTGGCATTTTACACTTAACCTCAGTAATATGAATACAGGCTACAAAGTTATTTAAGAAAAGACTACTAAACATTGCAACACTCCACCTGTACAAAGATAACTATTTTAAAACTGGTACTCTTTTTATGCTATGTTTAAACTTTTGACGACAATTTTCTTTTCTTGCTACTGGAAAAACAGTAAACATTGAATCTCCCCCCCTCCCCCAAGCAGGAATTAATACTGAAAACCTTGCTTTAACATTAGAATAGTGTTATGTTGATTACCCTGAACTGAGGATATCTAAATTTGTCTTTTAAGGAAAAATGCACTGTTCTCTCTGTATGCCTTTTTCAGTTACACTTTTAAAATATACATTTCAAAAATAAAATGCAATACCCTGATGATATAACATCTTAAATTTTCCAGGAGTGGAGGACAGACTTTTAGGAAAGTATATCGGGAAGATATTTCTAGGTATGTGGATGATACTTATTTTCCAACCCTCGGTGAAGGAAACAAGCATTTGTTCAATGCTTCCGATGTGTCAAGTCTACTGTTAAGCTCCTTACACATATTATCTAATGTGTCAGTATCTTTGACATGAATGTCAGCTTCTCAAGAAAGCCCCTCCGAGAAGGTGGGGAGCTCTTTGATTGTGCAGCAATAGAACTTAAAAGTTGTATCTCATATGAGAAGGTCTTCAGCTGGCACCATTCTTATTTGATAAGCATCTCTTGTAAAACATCTTTGATTTGTGATTTGGAATTAGATTTGATTGGAATAGCCTGTCTTCAGAGTGATCTGAAGATTTTTAAGAAGCTTCCATCCAGATTTAAAAAACTGTTTTGTATTAATTTATTTTCAACACTGTTGTACTACCAACACACAAACTTAAATGTAAGGAAAACAAATCCAGATTACCCATTTTCATTTTAATGTGTTATTAGCGCATATTCTGCATGTTGACATGGGTTGGTGGCATTTCTCTCAGCTAAAGTGGGTTTTCAGAGGCAGAGTGCCAGACTTTCCATAGTCAAGGGTCTAGTGAGATTTGGTGAGAGGACCACCAACCAGGGGCTTCCAAGGCTTGTCTTCTGGGCCAGGCCCATCCACTAGTTTAATGTACTGTGTGACGCTGGGGAAGTCATCGTATTTCTCTGGGCCTCAGTTTTTCTCATCTGTAAAATGTAGGAGTTGCTGCAGAATGCACCCTCTGGGTGTCTGTTGGGTTCTTCTTGTCCCGGTTCAAGGGTCTGTAATACAGCTGTTTGATGAGTGAGGACTTCGTTTAAAATATTAGATGAAGCCGATTTTATGTTTCACTAAGTCTGGCTTGTCCAGCTTTGTTGAATGCCCTTCCTTTTTTGGCCTATTCCTGCCTCCCTTTTAGTTTTTATTTGTTAAAGAATGTCCTAAAATTAGTTCTTTGTGCCCCCACCGAGACTAGGTAGGAGATAAAGTAATGATTTGGTTTGGGTAAAGCACATTGGATATTTAAAACTTTTGTAGCATCTTCTGCGGGGAGACGCTGCTCTTGGTCAGCCCGAGAAAGAAGCCTCCGTGGGGACTGCGGAGGAGGGTGTCCTGTGCCTCGGGTGCTGGGGCCCGTCCACATGGCATTTTGTTTGACAGCCCTTTCCCATGCCCCTGTCCTTTGTCTTCAGCCCTCGCTCAGAAATGCAGCCCTTGGTCTCTGGCTTACAATGATCATTTCATGTTAGCACTGCCACTGGATTGGGTAGGTTTCCACTGTCCGCTGCTGCGGTAGCAGGAGCGATGGCTGTCGGAGTGTGCCCACACATCGTTGGCAAGATCATGAACTTCTGGGGGGACAGCTATGAGGATGGGGCAGAGAGCAAAGGGAACCGATCCCCTTTGGTATTTTGAGTGCACTTTGCTTTCAAGATGGTCACAAAACAGCCTCATTAACCTTTAAGTGAGGTAGGTGAGGAGAAGCCAGAGTTGTTGTCTGAATTTAAATAATTGATATTAATGGACAGTGAGTCTGGAGCTTCTGATCAGAACCAGGCTCCAAAGTTTACTGGGCCCCTGCTAGGAGTGGAGCCGTAACTCTAAACACTAGATGAGGGAGAGCTGGGAGAGAGGAATGACGGACAGGGAAGAAAGTCAAGTCATCACGACTTGGCAGGTCATCGGTGGTAGATGCCTTTGGGTGAGGAGACAGTCCCTTTCTACGTAATCTTATATCCATAAGATGTGAATCTCACCCAGACTGCTCAGCACTGAACAATCGCTAGGACAAGCATTGCTTTCATCATCAGGAAGCAAGTCCCAACGTATAATTTATTGGTATATAAAATACAGAGATTTGTGTGGACCAAGAGGGGAAGAGAACATGGAAAAAATGAATGGTATGCAGTTATGATTAAAGGTTTTCTCCATTGTTTATTAATAATCTGATAGTGGTTATAAATAAAGTGAACTATTCTGTCCTTTGCCTCTTACAGAAATCTTGCAAAATTTGGTCTGCTATGTAATAACTGAGGTTTTTGAAGTGTATTTCTACCGGAAAGTATGCTTTAGGAATGCTTAGAGTGAGAGGAAGACTGGTTTTGTTTCTTCCTTTTAAAATTGCCTGAGAAGAGTGTGGTTTTGGAACTGAGCTAGAAGTGTGCGCTTAGGAGGAGGGTGAGGTTGGGGGGAACTTGCAGAGCTCCAGAGAGTGAAGGGAAATGCAACGCCCTTGTTGAAGAAGGAAAGCCTGGCATTACTGGTGGTATGGGATGTAGCATTTACAAAGCTGTTGCCCCGTGAATCAGAGTTTCAATTCTGTACAATTTAAAAGTAACTGAGTGCCTACTATATGCAAAGCGCAATGCTAGGCCCACTTGTCTGTTGGTGATGTTTTGCTGTCCTTATCAAAATGATAATGATGATGATGCAGTGAAAATTTCTTAAGTGTGTTCAAATGAGAAGATCAGTCCTTTTCTCTGAGATTATATCCTTCCAATTTGGGGTAATTTTTTCTATGAATTGATGGGAAGATTTTTACTTGGCAGCTTAATGGTCCATGAAATGGATAAGTCTGGGAATCCAGGCCTGAGATGTAGACAGCCCAGC